TATATATATATATATATATAATAGTTTCTTTATCCACTCATTGATTGGTGGGCATTTGGGTTGATTTCACATTTTTGCAATTTTGAATTGTGCTGCTATAAACATGCATGTGCAAGTATCGTTTTTGTATAATGACTTCGGAAAAGGCCCCTTTCATCCAAGGCAAGTTTTAGACTAAATTGTTGTTCGTCTACACCCCGGCTCCCCCTTTCTGGGTTTTCTTTCCTCTTGGTGGATCTCACTTCATTCCCTTTCTGGAGCCCAATCCTCCTCTCAGAAAGATCCCCAAAGATGTAATGTTTTCCATTAGTAAAACACGTGGACTTCTGTGTGAGTTTACGATCATTCTTCCCTTTCAATATATTTTAATTCTAGGCCCTAGCTCTAAATAAAAAATCATTCAGAGAGCCCAACTTTTTTTTTCTTTTTTTTTTTTTTTTGAGACGGAGTCTCACTCTGTCACCAGACTGGAGTGCAGTGGCATGATCTCAGCTCACTGCCACCTCTGCCTCCCAAGTTCAAGTGATTCTCCTGCCTCAGCCTCCAGAGTAGCTGGGACTATAGGCGCGCACCACCACACCCAGTTTTTTTTTTATTTTTAGTAGAGATGGGTTTTCACCATGTTGGCCTCATTAATCTAATCTATTCTAGACAAGAAACTAGGTAATTCTGCTACAAAAATATCCCTCAGGTGATTAAATTCTTTCTTCGGCTGTCTACATCCACCAAATTAACTCAAGAACTCTAAACTCGATTTCCTATTGTGTTGTGTTAATATTATTTCGGCAGGTTTGAACGCAGAGGACCTGAGCATCTCACCATTTATCCCTTCTGAAAGGAGGGTCTAAAACCAATGCCTTTCTGATCGCTGAGGGGGGAGACCAGAAATGGCACAGTTCAAACACAGCCCGCTTTTGAGCTGCAGCTTCTATTAGGAAATGGTATGATTTAAACTGCTTTAAGTTGACTTTACATTTCCCAATCTAAAAAATAAGTAATTTTAAGGCATCTGGCAACTGATAGGGAGAGAGATGTATAGAGGGTTAATTTTCCTACTCTATAAATATTTGAAATAACAATACAGACACAAATAGACTGCAAGCTTTTTTTTAAGTCTAACCTCACTAGTAAGATAACATGAGTTACCATTTTTTACCTATCAAATGGGCAAAAAAGTTTTAAATTCTTCCCAGTGTAGGAGAGTAATTAAGAAAGCAGATGCTGGTAGGAGTATAGATTGCAACATTCTTTCAAAGGAACTTGAAATCTTGTTTAAAACATTTGTCTAATGAGCAGACCTTATGATTCAGCAATTCTGCTTCTAGGAATATGTCCTAATGAACAAGGATACAAAGAAACACAAGATAATCTTCCTAGTGATGCCTCTACTAATAAACTGCAAATGTCCATTCATAGTGAGTTGTGAGTAACTTACGTTACAAAATGGAATCACATGCAGTCATTAAAACTGATAACACAGTTATTTTGATTTGGAAATATATTTATGTTATTAAAGAAAATGGTAGGTTATGAAACTAAATACTATATGGCATGTGATGTCACTTTTGTTAAGCAATACATACATACACAATGAACATAAATGAAAATGTGTGAAGCAATTTATGCACACCCACACACACATATAAATTGAAAAAGTGTCTCGAATTCTCTTTAAAATACTCCAGCACAAACAGTATGGTATATAGGTGTGCTGAGTCTTAATTTATACTCTAGGGGCAGTTGCTTAGTACTTGAAAGACTTTAACAAAAAACTGGTATTCCAGAGGTGGTTATTATAAGGCTTCAACTGCCTTTAACAAACATTAGAGGGTTTGCTAACAAGCACAGTGGATATAAGAAATGATTTTTGATGAAAAGAGGCATTCAAAATACAGTATGCACTGCTTAACAATGTTTTAGTCAATGGACTGCATAGACAATGATGGCCCCATAAGATTATAATGGAGCTGAAAACTCCTCCCCTAGTGACTTCACAGCCATCATCATGTTGCAGCATAATACATTACTCATGTGTTTGTGGTGTTGCCCGTGTAAACAAACCTACTATTCTGCTATTTGTGTGAAAGTGTAGCACATGGCCAGGCGCAGAGGCTCAAGCCTACAATCCCAGCACTTTGGGAGGCTGAGGTGGGTGGATCACAAGGTCAGGAGATCGAGACCATCCTGGCTAACACGATGAAACTCCATCTCTACTAAAAATACAAAAAAATTACCCAGCATGGTGGCACGCACCTGTAGTCTCAGCTACTTGGGAGGCTGAGGCAGGAGAATCGCTTGAATCTGGGAGGCGGAGGTTGCAGTGAGCTGAAATCACACCACTCCACTCCAGCCTGGGCGACAGAGCAAAACTCTGTCTCAAAAAAAAAAGAAAGAAAGAAAATGTAGCACATACAGCTATGTACAATACATAATACCTGGTAATAAAACAACAATGTTACCAGTGTATGTATTTACTATGCTATATCTTTATTGTTATTTTAGAGTGTACTCCTTCTACTTAATGAAAAAAAAAAAAGTTAACTGTAAAACAGCTTCAGGCAGCTCCTCCAGGAGGTATTCCAGAAGAAGGCATTGTTATCACAGGACATGACAGCTTCAAATGTGTTAGTGCCCCTGAAGACCTCTCAGTGAGACAAGAGGTGAAGGCGGAAGACAGTGAAATTAATGATTCTCACCCTGTGCAGGCCAAGGCTAATGTATGTGTTTGTGTCTTAGTTTTTAACAAAAAATCGAAACAGTAAAAAATATAAATAAAAATAGAAAAAAGCTTATAGAATAGGATATAAAGAAACCATTTTTGTATAGTACAATATATTTGTGTTTTAAGTTCAGTGTTACCATGAAACTGTCAAAAGTCTCTTAAAATTTATTTTTAAAGTTACAGTATGTTAAGGTTAACTTATTTCCTTTTTTTTCTTTTTTTTTTTTTTTTTTTGAGATGGAGTTTCGCTCTTGTTACCCAGGCTGGAGTGCAATGGTGCGATCTCGGCTCACCGCAACCTCCACCTCCTGGGTTCAGGCAATTCTCCTGCCTCAGCCTCCTGAGTAGCTGGGATTACAGGTATACGCCACCATGCCCAGCTATTTTTTTGTATTTTTAGTAGAGACGGGGTTTCACCATGTTGACCAGGATGGTCTCGATCTCTTGACCTCGTGATCCACCTGCCTTGGCCTCCCAAAGTGCTGGGATTACAGGCGTGAGCCACCTTATTATTAAAGAAAAAATGTGAAATGAATATAGTGTAGCCTCAGTAGGCAGTGTTTACAGTTTACACTCGTGTGAGTAGCCACATTCACTTCCCACTCACTGCCTCACCAGGGGCAACTTCCAGGCCTATAAACTCCCTTCATGGTACATGCCCTATACAGGTGTGCCATTTTCAATCTTTTATAACATGTTGTGTTTTTACTGTAACTTTTCTATGTTTAGATATATGTAAATATACAAATACCACCATGTTACAACTGCCTGCAGTATTCAGTATGGTAACACGTTGTATCGGTTTGTAGTCTAGTAACAGAAGCTATAGCCTATGGTGTAGGTGTGTAGCAGGCTGTGCCATCTAGGTTTATGTAAGAACACTATGATGTTTACACAATGACAAAACTGACTAACGATGCATTTGTCAGAACATATCCCTGTTGTTAAGCAATGTGTGACGGTACAGTCAGGGCTCAATGTCACTGTCAGGTTCTTGGAAACTGCATCTTTCAGTGAAACTGATTTTACCACAGCTAATTGATATCAACGAGACTTAAGTTCTTACGGCCTATTTCTGATCACAAAAAGATCACAAAACTTCTAAATAAAAACCAAAACATTTATAATATTAAACACTGAAATAAATGTGAGCTATACATACATTTAAGTAAGGCTAATAAACACAGAAAGATAATTATTTGCCCAGTTATTCCTATTCAGGGTCAAGGGTGGCTAGAGCCTGTCCCGGCAGCTCAGGGTATAAGGTTGGGGCCCATGCTGGACAGGATGCATCCCCTAGCAGGGTGCACTCAGACCTACACCCCACCCTCCATCCCACACACACTCATTCAGGCTGGGACCACACACCAGTTAACCAAACATGCACATCTCTGGGATGCGGGAGGAGACTGGGGAACCTGCAGGAAACCCCTGCAGACGCCAGAGGATGTAGAAGCTCCTCCACACAGTGGCCCCAACAAGCAACAGAGTTTCTCATCAAGGTGACAGTGAAATGACACTGAGTGAAATGACATCGTTGGAGGACTTACTGTATATGGGTCAGCTGGAAATGCTGTACAGGCCACTCTGCCTTCTTATGACCAGGTTGTGAGAATTCAGCAACTTCAGCAGCCTATATCTCTCTAGCCCTACGCGACAGAGAAGTCTGTGGCCTGCGCTACTTTATGAGGTTAGCTCGATGCTACGGCTGCAACACGGCTGCTGCACGTGACACAGGACAGCCTTTCACACAAGGTGCTTGTCCACGTGGCTGAAAGGCAGGAGCTTGGGCCTCCCCAGCGCAGTTTACAGCACAGGCTGTGTGCCTGCTTGCTCATGCTTGTTTGTCCCTGTAGCAGGATTGGTTTGAGAACTGCTCTTGCTTTTTTTTTTCACCCTTAGAGAGGTTGTGGGGTAGAGATCTGTAATCACTGGAGCCTCCTGCTATCAACCATAAATGACCTATTAGCTGTGAACCACTAAACTAGCCTAGGTCAGTTTACCACAGAGGCTGTAGTATGCCTGAACTTCAGCGGTGATTATCTATAGATGGTGGGATTATACTATTCCAACGCCCGGCCCCCAACTCCCTTTGTGCTTACAGGTTTTCTAATTCTTCCTATAATAAATATGTATTTGTACAAGGTGGGTGGATCACTTGAGGTCAGGAGTTCAAAACAGCCTGGCCAACATGGTGAAACCCTGTCTTTACTAAAAATACAAAAAATTAGCAAGGCGTGGTGGCAGGTGCCTATAATCCCACCAGATGGGAAGGCTGAGGCAGGAGAATTGCTTGAACCTGGGAAGTGGAGGCTGCAGTGAGCTGAAGTCCTGCACTGCACTCCAGCCTGAGCGACAGAGAGAGAGACTGCCTCAAATAAATAAATAAATGTACTTGTATTATTTAAATAATAAACAAGAGACTTGAGTAAACTGCACGGACAGCACTGTCACCACCTGCTGGCAAAAACGGAGAAAGAGCACCGTAGGTGAATGCTGACCGCTTCACAGCAGAGCAGGCAGCTTGCAGTTAGGTTTTTCAGTTTCTAGTTGTTTTTAACTTCTAAGTATAATGTCTGGATTTTAGGGAGGGGAGAAGATCACTCCTATTGAAGCATGTTACCTTGAAAGAGTTCTGATTTTCAAAAGCAAAACATAGCTCTGCTGACCATGGTTTCAGTCTGAGAAAAAAAATCATAGTCCCTGCTGCATGTAATATTAGTCATTTGGTCATCTGTCAAATAGTTTGTCTGTTCTAAAGATTTCTCCCAAATATCAATATTTAAAGAAAAGTAGACATCTACTGTAATCTTTTTTTTTGAGATGGAGTTTTGCTCTGTCATGAGGCTGGAGTGCAATGGCATGATCTCGGCTCACTGTAAACTCTGCCTCCCGGGTTCAAGCAATTCTCCTGCCTCAGCTTCCCAAGTGTCTACTAAGATCATAGGCACCCCCCACCACACCCAGCTAATTTTATATTTTTAGTAGGGATGAGGTTTCACCATGTTGGCCAGGCAGGTCATGAACTCCTGACCTCAGGTGATCCACTCACCTCAGCCTCCAAAAGTGCTGGGATTACAGGCATGAGCCACCATGCCCGGCCTACCACAATCTCTTTGGCAAAGACATTTATTAAGTGATGAACATAGATTAGATCTGAACTCTTAGCTTTCTGTCTACAATGCCTCCTGGCTTTCTCCCACTGCCCTGTGGCGTTGACAAACTCCCATCAGTATCGTCTTCTGCCACTATTGTGCAGCATTCCCTGCGCGGAAAGTGTAAAGGCATTCCTTACCAATGCCATTTTCCAGGAACTGTGTGATAATCTAGGGATTTGCTTCATAGGGCACCATGCCCCAAACAAAACATTTTCCCGATTCTGTTCATCCTTTTGTTACTTCAAGCTGATGTATCCTTACCCTCTCTCCCACAATGCATGCCATCTCTTGGAGCCCAAATCAAAGGCATCTTCAACAAGGCTTTCCTTAATTTCTCCACCTAGAATTTAATGTTTCTTCCTCTTGGTTCTCAAGTATTTTATTGATCTTTTTTTTTTTTTTGAGACGAAGTTTCACCCTGTCTCCCAGGCTAGAGTGCAGTGGCATGATCTCTGCTCACTGTAATTTCCACCTCCTGGGTTCAAGTGACTCTCCTGCTCCAGCCTCCCCAGTAGCTGGCATTATAGGTGTCTGCCACCACGCCTGGCTATTGATCTCTTTCTTACTGTACTTCTTGCACTTTAACTTACATGATGCTCTGATAATTGTGAGTTGTATACATGAGTAGACATGGAGCCAAACCAGTCATATAGCAGTCTCCCGTGATGCCTGACAAATGACAGTTGCTCCATAAACATCCACTGAGTACCTGATGAGTCAAAGGCATTGATCTTTGATTAGATGGCCCAGGTTTGAACATTAACAGGAGCCACTGACTTAGATATGCATAAACACACATGTACACTATGGACAACCAGCTTGCTTGGATGGTGATAAATGATACTAACCACAGTAAGTATCTAACTATGATGTCACCACAGTCAGCAGCTTCAAATGAGAAGCCAAAGGCTGATCATGGGTTATAACAAGTATTAGTCATTTTAAAGGTCTGGTTCTTTGGATGTTTCTAATTAGGCAGTTGCCAAAACTGATAACAATCAGTAAGGCCATAAGCTCTCTGGTCTTATGATTTCTGCTAAATTTCTAATGGGGACCTAAGAGTCCTAACTGCAGGTTTGGGTTCTATAAGCAAAGCAAACTCAGCAAAGACACCAACATTGAGAAAAGGCAGCAGCTGTGCTGCAACAGGCTAACTGCTTTCCAGACTGATGCCTGGGGGTCAGGGGCCTCCCTGTGCTCAGCAGTACCTGACTGGTGGATCCCTCTACCAATGACCTGTCCATCTCTCCTCTGCCAACCCCTGTTCTCCTCCTTGCCCAACCCCTGAGACCACCTATCTCAGAAAATAGGGAGGGTGCTGTCCTCCAAACGCTCATCCTGCCATCTAGGAGCCACCATCCCTGTCCTGTCTCCGATGGAAGAAGCTGTTCCAATGGAAGAAACACCCCCCACCACTTCCCTCTACTCCCCTGTCTCTCTCTCCTTTGACACTCCTTATACAGTGCTCACCACATCTAGAAATTTTTTTTCAATCTCTTTTTATAAATATGATACTTGTAATCCCTATTTGAAATAAAGGGAAAACAACACACAAATGCTTTTTACTTTATGCATGACACATCTGCATTTGGACTGGGGACCATCACACACATACACGTGTGCATGCACAAGAGTGGGACCATCTGCTCTCATATTATTCACACAGGAGACAAACAAGTTTTACTGGCAACTATTAATCCACTCCCTGTGCTGGAAAGGACCATAAAGGTCCTCTAATAGCAGCGGGCCCCAGACTTTTGGATTCTAAGGCAGGTAAAATTACCCCGCCCACACCATATGGCTAAATAACGAAAACAGAGGGAACAGCATGGAGCTGCCAACACTACATTTAGGAGCTTTCTTTCCTTCTTTGAAATACAGTCTTGTTCTGTTGCCCATGCTGGAATGCAGTGGTGCGATTTCGGCTCACTGCAACCTCCACCTCTCAGGTTCAAGAGATTCTCATGCCTCAGCCTCCCAAATAGCTGGGATTATAGGTACACACCACCACACCCGGGTAATTTTTGTATTTTTAGTAGAGTTGGGGTTTCATCATGTTGGCCAGGATGGCCTGGAACTCCTGACCTCAAGCGATCCACCTGCCTCAGCCTCCCAAAGTGCTGGGATTACAGGCGTGAGTCACTGCGCCCAGCCAGATTTGGGGGCAATTTTTAAAAATCATCATCTATTTGGGGAATGGATACTTTAATCTCAAAAAAGAACATGCTATCAGAACAATTAATCAATTTAGTGTTGGGAGAAGCTCACTTCTTTGCCTTTACTTTTCATGGTCCTGCACTAGTTTGGGGATGGACTCGGGAGTGCATCTTGGACTCCAGTGACCCTTTAGGTAGTCCGAAAACTTCAAACACTTCAAAACCCAAAATTTCAGTAATTCAAGAACCACCATTATATCATAACTGTACTATTATTTCTTAAGTATTTCTCATTAAATATACTCACATTTTGACTTATACAGTTTTATTTTAAAAGAAGACTTTGCATCATTTCCATAAAAGAAAAATCAATATCATATGTCACAAATAAAAGGTAACCTAAGAGTAAATGCAATAGAAACAAAACGTGTTATTGAAGTCCAGTTAGAGAGTGTTGCTGGCTGAGGCCTGACCTCTCTGTGTAGACCAGGGAGGCTGGCAAGTGGACAGCAGTGATTAAAGACTGTCATCAAACCATACTTTTCATTTTAACAATATCAGAGGGATTGAAAGTGAATTGAAAATAAAAGTACTTTCACCCCAGGTAATACAGTATTATCTAGTGCTAGACTCAGGGCCCATCTAAAGTCATCTCCAGTGGTTCGTATCCCACTCTTAGAGTAACACGAATCGTGATACTTTGATGCATGAATATTGCTAATTCATCCAGCCATTGGACACATTTATTGAGCAACTACTACATTCCAACCACTGTACACAACAGAAGAAGGAATGAACAAAACAGGCATGGTACTTCTTGCAAACCTTCCAGTGGTGAAACAAACATTAAACAAGTGGTTGCATAAATTATATTTGTATATATTTGTGTTTTACATATATGTATACATGTTGTGTGCATATATATGATATACATGTGATATGCGTGTCTATATGCATCAATTTGGTAAATGGTTGCTTGGTTGGTTGGTTTTGAGATGGAGTCTCACTGTGCTGCCCAGGCTGGAGTGCAGTGGCACAATCTTGGCTCGCTGCAACCTCCACCACCCAGGTCCAAGGGATTCTCCTGCCTCAACCCCCTGAGTAGCTGGTGCTATAGATGTGTGCCATCACCCCCAGCTAATTCTTTGTATTTTTAGTAGAGACAGGGTTTCATCATGTTGGCCAGGCTGGTTTTGAACACATGACCTCAAGTCATCTGCCTGCATTGGCCTCCCAAAATGCTGGGATTACAGGCATGAGCCACCATGGCTGGCCCAATTTGGTAAGTTTTGTAAAGGAAAAATACAAGATGTTATGGCATGGTTTCACAGTAGGGCTGTCTTTAGGTAAGGGGCCAGGAAAGACGTATAGATAGGAGATTGTAACAAACTGAGGCTTAAAGGAAAACAAGCTCCAGCATGTTGAGAGGGTGGGTGGGGTAAGCTCCACACAGAGGTAACGATGCAGAAAAGGTCTGGTTCCTTTGGGGAACTGAAAGACATGTGGTGAGCGGGCAGCACGCAAGAGAGAGTGGAATAGGTGTGGGGGAAAGCAGTCTCCTAACCTTTGCCTAAAGTGACCAGAAACTTTCTAGATCTCTCTGCAAAGATGGTCTTCCATCTTTGTATATCTCCCTAGAAATGTTTCCTATACTAAAGAAAAATCTATCTCTCTGTTGTTTTTGCACACTAACAAATCAGTTCAACATCTTTGCATTATGTGTAGAGAAAGTGTAATTCCTCTTCCACGTGACAGCCTCCAAGTATCTGGAGATGGCCAAGTGTTATTCCAGAACCTTCCCTTCCAGGGTGAACACCACCAAAGTTCCCAGGCTCCCTGCTGTCTGTGTACCTCTTAAGAGGAAGAGTGGCTGGGCACGGCGGCTCATGCCTGTAATCCTAGCAGT